AAACATAGATAAAAAAATAAATTAATGAAAGGATCATTGTAAGCCATCAATCATCTCATAGCTTCGGACAATATCGCAAAGCTACTAAAAACTATAATCGTGCCCTCACCTCAAACATTGTTCAGATAAATGAATTACAATAAAAATAGAAGCAAATGTTAATACACATGAAAATAAGCGCACAAGTAGAGTAAATAATGCCATTTCTGGGGAAATTTTCTCGGGTAAACTTCTAACCCTATCACAAGGAAAACTATCTTCTCAGGAAACCACAAAATCAAATTTTGTCCACCTTATAACACAGGTTTTTAAATTTGCTTGGCAAAGAAAAGCATCAACTCTTCATTGAGGTTGATGGCTGTCAAGTTTACTACCTCCCGAGCACCATCCAGTTCTAGTGAACCTCTACATGTCTAAAGTTTTCAACACCATCAAAGCATCATCCCATGCTTGACCACCCCCTCGTAAACAAGCTCTACTCCTTGATCATCCCCTCCGCACTATATGACCTCCCAGTTGCACGATCCTAGGACCTCACTGCTTCGTGGAACTTGTATGGGTGCAAAGAAACTGTATGGTCATCCTCCAGCCCTCGGAGTAGCCTGTAGTTCAGAAACAATGACATGTCAGATTTTTGAAACATGCCCTCATGATACTTGCATAGTATAGTTTTAACTCAAGTGCAAGCTACCAGACAACTAAGTTACTCCCTCCGTCTCAAAATAGATGATACTTTAGCTATGAATCTACAATCTAGACAATTGTCATCTATTTTGGGACAGAGGGAGTACATCCTAATATAACTCACTGCACTTGCAATTAAATGACCTGTCTTGTGGTCTTTAAAAAAGAATGACCTAACACAAATGTTCCCTGCTTGTGCCTTCCATTTGCAGTCTGAAAGGCAATAGTTTCAGAGATCAAATACTGGTGAGTGGTGACCATTGATATTCGAGACGGTTGATACAGAGTAGTTAAAGAAAATGATGTACTCTCATTGAATAGTTGTAGACCATCAGCAATATAGGAATCATCAATTGTTAGGCTGTTTTTTTAGTAAGCTGAATCACCATGTCTAATCTGGGTGGCAAAATATTTGTGTTTGACTGACTGCTCCAATCGTTCTTTCCAAAATTGTTGTTCTATTGGTTTGGTATCTGCTGCATCTAGAAAAGGACACCAAATAAAGAATCGGATAGGCCATATCCGAAAAAACTGAGTCCTTGCCATATCCAAATATGAGAATTCCAAATCCAGTATAGTCCAATTTAAACGGGAGAGAACTGCCATGCAGCAATATAGAGCATTATTATTAGTCAAGAAACAACAATAAGAAGGAGCTCAAATACATGTCATTTCCAACTCTTGAGAAAAAAATAGTGGGTTTTGAAATACAAACCAATAAAAAATGGCTTCAAATTTCAGTACAGTTACAATATAAACTACAAACTGCAATGGAAAGCATTCAAATTTTTTATTCACATAGTAAGATACTTGTGCTACAGAACATAGAAAGTTGTTAACATAGAAAGTCAAACAACTGATCACATCGGAAAATTAAGTCCAGTGTAAAAGCCTAAGTAAAACTTGAATGTAGCATGGCATTCTCCATATAAAAGCATACCACCTTGTGTGAAGAATTACCTGCTTCTAGCACAGTAGAATTAACATAATCTTCATCACTCTCGCTAAAGTTCCCAGCCATGTATCCATTGCCATCAGAAGACGAGTTGAAGCTACAGCATGGACCTATGTTCTTTGTAGATGGCTGAGATAGGAGAAATGAACCTTGAAATGTTCATGTATTTTGAAATGGCACCAAACAATGCAGTCCCAAGCTGCCTGGATTTGGTCAGGGAGTTGTTGATCAGCACAGCAGCAGGCAGTTCCGCTTGCATCGAAGGACGGCATAAAACAGGTCCCCTCCATTGCCATCAATCTGCCTACATGGTAAAAATGAAACCAATAAATAAATATCTGTGCCCGGATAATGCCACGGAGAAATAATCAAGTGACCTATAGCAGCGAAAAAGTCAGAAAATGATTCTGTCCTGCTCCTATGCTACAACTATCAGTTTTCAATTTCATGACACTGATGTATGAACCTACAATTTGGATTCAGAAATATATAAGCTGGGTACCCTTGATCCATAATTAAGTGCCCGACCTTATTTTGTATCTCAACCCCCAAAACCTAGCGTCGGATGCGTAATGTTTCTGATAAAGTGTAATTTGTATTTGAGTTTTGAAACGTTTAGATGAGGTTTTCCCGCGCTGCCTGAGTCCACGACGTCGCCCACGTCATGCGCGCACTCAGCAGACGCGCCTCGAGCGCTGGCAGTTCTACTGCCTGTAACCTATACAAATACTCAGAGATCAACACGATTCAGTTTGTTGGCTCAATTGTTCACTCTTTCAGTTTCATTAGTTAGTGATTCTCTGATTGGCATGGTCGAACATTCAAATACACTATTATGCAATTTCACTAGCTCCGATGTAAAAAAAAGAACACACATAACTGACCAACCGATTGCACTAAACGCCTAGGAGAAGATTGGCAAGGAAAATAGGCGAGCTGAGAGCAAGAACGCATCACCTTGTGGAAGTCCCCAGTGACTTGCGCAACAATGTCCTCCTCAAGCGACTGCTCGTGAACCTTGCTAGTGGCCGGCCGACCGGCGCCGGCTAGTCTCGCTGAAGAAGAGAAGGATGCAGGCACGCACGACCAAGATAGGGGGCGGGGGATTGGGAGGGGGGCGTCACTCCGCCGCAACAACAGCCGCTGGTCACGCGCGAAGGCTCAGGCTCCACGGCTTCCCCAGCATCTCGATCAGCGATTCTACCTGGGCAATCGGAAACGGAAGCACAATTAGTCTGCGATTCGTATAGGGTTAAGCTGAGATGGGCGAATTGATTGGATATTTTTGAATTTCCAAAATATGATTTGTTCAAACAAAATTTGAGGACCGTAAATAATTTCAAATGAAAAAAATCGATAACTACAAAGTTGTAGATCTCATTGTGATCTAAAACATTATAGTTGACGACTATTTTATTTGAAACAATTTATGGTTCTAAATTTCTGTTTGAAGTTTTTATATTTTCAAATTCAAAATTTTCAAATTGATCAAATGAACATGAATGAAGAAATTATTAAAATTAAAGTTGTACATCTTGAAGAGATAAATTATATTTTTTTAAAAAAAAAGTGTTCCAATTTCATATTTTTCTGAATTAAAAAAATATTTATGAATTATAGAGATTTACCTAATATTCTATTATTTTTTGAAAATACATATATAATCAAAACAACCCTTCAAACCAGAATTAATATCTTTCTTATTTCACAAACATAACACACATGCTTTCCTTATTTGACACCTCATAGTTCTGATATAGAGAGGACTTGGGTCATTTTGGTGGCCATTTAGCACCATTAATGAAGAAAATGAACAGTATGCCAAATATTGAAGAAAATTTTAACTCCGTACTAGATAAGGAACTTCGATTTCAGGAGTGTCTTCAAAGTAAGGCACCGTTTGGATGCCAAAATTTTTGGCGAAATGCTACTGTAGCATTTTCATTGTTATTTGGTAAATAGTGTCCAATCATAGTCTAATTAGGCTTAAAAGATTCGTCTCGTGGATTTCGTCTAAACTGTGTAATTAGTTTTATTTTTTATTTATATTTAATGCTTTATGCATGCGTCCAAAGATTCGATGTGACGGAGAATCTTAAAAAATTTGGTATTTTGGAGTGGAACTAAATAGACCATAAGACTGATTTTTTCAGTGCCAAATAGATAGTTTTCTCTTTTTTTTTTTTTGGCCTTTACTAAACGCACGCAAAATTTGTTTTCGCGACATCATCACTTGTTCATGGCAAAAGCATAACTTGCCTTCTCTTGACGTCACAGCTACTCGGACAAGCAGCCCTAAGCAAAAGAATATGACTTTGAGCAGTTTCGGATACAGGATACTAGTGAACCGAGTAGTTTATTTGCGGTACTTCACGGTTCCAAGTTCAAGGCGTCTGTATCCGCTTCGATCTCCTTCTTGCTCCTGATATAATTAACATAGATGTACTAAACAATATGAACAGCATGTTTGGGTTCAACCGCCCTTTCTTCCAGCCATAACATCCAGAAAATACATCTGCAAGGATGCATGTCGCTCAGGATGTTTAGGCAACCATGTTTTAATGTCTGATTCCTTCTCTAGCTATGCCTCCTCGAAATCTTTATTATGCACACACTATCCATCGACCTGTTTCATGGCTTTAAAAGCTTCTCAAGAAGCTTCTGCCAAATTGCCAATTGCCTAGAGCTATTTACTAGTCTAGTGAAGTAAAACTTGCTCACTTATATGAAGTCCTTAGTTGAAGCAAACTCAAGCTGATGAGCTGGTTGCCTCCATTATAGCATAAATTAACAATGCTGCGCATGGCTTGAGGCTACTACCCTCATCTTCAACGCCTCTCTCATGGATGCAAGGCCTGAGAAAATTCACTCCCTGCAGCTGCTATTATGCATACATGTCAACCTGACAAGCTTCATCTAAACAGCACACCACCAAACCTACAGACACTTCACAAATTATACATAACTTCACGCAGCAAAAGACTTGAAAAAGAAGGGATTCCATAATATAAAGATCCATCAGCTTTAATATAAAGATCCATTCGATACAAATAGTGAACTAGGTTCTTCGATCAGGAAATTCTGCTTTTGCCATTAAATCTTCGATCAGGAGTGAAACCTTCCGTTTAGCCACTGGGAGCCACAAAATGTTTTTGCCTTGCACACCGAGGCAGGCCTTTCCCAGACAGAAGCCAACAGAATTTCATCACTCTTTAATGGCAAAAGCAAAATTTAGATATTTTCTTGACGTTACAGCCACAAGGACAAGCAAGCAGCCGCAAGATGAAGCAAAAGGAGGACCACTTTTAATGGTTCAGATCGTACTAGACCTAATAACCTATGATCTAATTTGTTTGCAGCTTCACGGTTCTAAATTCAGTGTTGCATCTGCATCTGCATCTGACTCAATTTCCTTCTTGCTCCTGACCTTACATCTCTTCTTCATTCCGTCATCCAGCAATCCAAGGTCTTCCACGACCCCAATATGTGCATAAAGCAGCTCTTCCAGGCTCTCAGTAGAGGCAGCCTTCTTACCTTTGCTGCCTCTCAACAGCTGGAACTCTTCCTTGCCATGGTTCCTGGTTGAGAAATGGGTATGGACTCTCATGGCTTCCTGAAACCCAGATATAGTTGGCTGGAACTTCACCAAGAACACGCTCTGATTGGCTGGTCTTCCATGGCTAACCCTCGCCTTCTCAGGTGGTACCCCTATATCTGGATGAGTAAGACAATGTAAACAAATTTTATATACGAGTTAAACAATACTAATAACAAAATATAGCGTGAGGATACTTCTAAGAATTATTCTGCACCACAAAATTGTAACAATAATAATAGACAAAAACATTCATTTTGCTCTGCAAAAATACTACCAGAATTGCAAAGGAACAAACAAAGTATGCCTACAACTACAATAGGCTGCTGAATAAGTCGATCTCATCATAACATCTCTTAAGGAAATATAACAGAAGACAACATGAGCACATATTTAGCCACTATCCTAAGTTGCCATACAGACAAACAAAATGTTAACTAGGCGCTGCACAGATAGGATCTTTTTAGTCTCAGTGAAAACTAACCTGCCAATACACCTTCAATTTCTTCTATGGACACAACCTTGCACCAGTATCCTTTGCCTCATTACCAGTCGAGCTGTTCTGTATCACAACAACTGGAGGCCACAGCATGAGGTCTTCCCTCATGGCATTTATTTCCTCAGATGGAATGGAGTAATGAGCTTTAGATGTGTCTGGAGCAACATGCCAATTCCACCCCATCAGAACACAGAGTGCTTTGTGAAACCCCAAGTGTTTTGTCTTCAAACCCACCTTGCATGTATCATAAGCATGTGATAGCAGTGCATCCAGGTCTGGAAACTTCCTCGCTACACTGTTGTAGGAAGTAAACAAAAGAGCAAAATAAACAGAGTATTTCTTCAGGTTAGAATCTCAAGTGATTGTTCAGTCAATCAAACTATGCAGATAAAAGAAACTACATTTCGACAATCCTCTTGGGGGCATCATGATCACGATCATTCACATCACAGTATTGAAAACGATTCACAAGGGTGTAGCTACCAATTTTCCCAAAAAAAATAAATCAAGTGAAACACAAAGAGCCAATAGCAAACTAAATAATCAGAAGATAAAACTTTGTAAAAAATTTTGATCCCCAAATCTCCGCCGCACTAATCCAGAAACATCCAAGCAATGTTTCAGAACTATAACTGAACCCAATCTCTGTGCACCAACTCAAGGAAACAATGGAACGAACTACTACTGCTTCAATGAAAAACATTTGGACCAATGCCTGAGCTTAAATTTGATGTAAATTAATCAAAATACAGTGACATCTGGTTTGGACAAGCAAAATAAATCAAATTTGCAGCATACTGCACTTAGTAATCTAAAGTTATTGTTGAAAAAAATAAACCAAACACACCTTTTATTTGATCATAGAAAGGTTACGATAATCACTGATAGAAAATAGTATAAATAAATAACTATAGCTAAGTGATATGCCTGTATAAGTGGTGTGGTGTATTGGTACAAGTTGATATGCCATTACAAACACTATTTAAAACCTAGAACATGAAAAGGACAGCAGTCTATATGGAGCTGATCAGTACTGTATGTACTAGTATAGATACCATAGTAAAACTAATTAGATTTCATGCATTTCAAATGCAAGAGTAGAATTCATGGTCAAATTACCAGGGCAGCAAAAGGTAAGATACTTATAAAAACAACAGCATAGAGAAACTTATAGTTTAAACAAAACCCTTGGTTAGTTCAGACCAATAGCTCAACCTACAGACTCTAGCAAGCAATAAATAGCAGCATGCCATACAGCCCATGCATAGCTCAGGCTGCTCTACTGCTCCAGACATACGTAAGCGGCAACCTTTGTCATCTTGATTTGGCAAACCTGTGCACGCATGGTTTTCAAACTGTGCTAGCGAAATTCTAATATACTGGTACTGGTAGGCTAGGTACGATCTAAAGAAGTAAACATGCTTGAGGGCTCGATAAAGAAGCCATAATGTTATTCCTCCAAACAAATTGCCAAACTTGCACAATGGTCTCCAAATTTGCACATGTTGCCTGCTGAGTGTGTTCAGTCCATGTTACCAAGGAGAAAGAGCAGTTTGGCAATGTGGCTACCTGACTTCACAGGACAGAATCGTGTTTGGTGCCAAAACATTATCAACAAGAAGTTCCGACAACCCAACTAACTCATGGCAACGACACTCTGAAGCTAATTTCTCATCAACAGAACAGTGCTGTTACTTTTACTTCCTTTCAGCCGTATTGTACAAATACACCTGAAAGACTGCAATGCAGTACTCCATGCAAGCTGAATCACCATCTGATCTCGCCACAGGATAGAATGGCAGTTCACAACAAAGACCAATGCTCAAACCTTTGGACGCCAATGTTTTTTTATGTCTGAATCCTTATAAAAAGCACCAACATGCTTTAGAGATGTGAGTGAACATTGAACCGAGAATATTACCATAGTCCAGCACATCCACATGATGGTTCCTCAAAATCTTCATTATGCTACTCAATCCCATCAGCAATGTCCATGTTTGTCACCGGGAATGCCATCCCGTTCCAGGAACGCGGGAACAATCTCATCCTCAAAGTGAAAAAAAAACCTTTCTTAAGGAGCGTACAATATTCCTCGATCCCCGTTCCACGACCTAATTTTCCAAGGAACTTTGTGACTACGCCCATGAGCCTACATCCTACTAATCGCACATAAACATAATAACGCGCCCCACATAAAACATGTTGATTTAACGACGGGCAGAATGGGCACTAAAGCTACATAACATTATGCCAATTTCCTTGAGAGAAATATCAATTATAACTCAGTATGTTAACCTAAACTATAGGGTTAAATTATAAAGCTTATCTACTGTATGAGGTGCATTTTATTGTTACTACAGAAGACATCACTTTTCCTTCGATTTCTCCATTCCAGTCACCATACCCAGCAAGTAGGCAACTGCTAACAAAGTTATAGGAGGAACTGTTTAGTTCGCAGGCAAAGAAAGACAAACCTGCGACAGACACAGCAAGACAAAGATCCTTTTGATGCCTCACGGTATTTCTTCTGCGTAGCTGGACTCTCATTTAATATCTTTGCGTACTTAAGAAATGCTTCCTCAACCTGTTTACGGAACTCCTCTGAACCTTCTGGTGGATCTTTCTGCAGAGGAGGATCCTCATACTCTGGAGCATCTTCATGCTTTACTTCAGAACCATTAGGTTCATCTTTTGTCGACTTTGAAAATTTATTTGGCCTAACAAATTCATTTCTATCTGATGGGTACCCACCATCGAACTGATGAGGAGCAGTTTTCAGTCTCTTTTTGGCACTCTTAGTCAATCCTCCTCTTCCTCTTCCTCTTCCTCTCTTCCTCTTCCATGCATGGGAGCTTCCCCAAATTGTGAGTGGAAATTAGGTCTAGACAGCCTCTGATACATAGGTACGTGTTTTGAATACCCATAACCCAAGATGTCAGAATGAGGATGGTTCCCCCGATCCATGTCAGTCCATTCCCCATAGGTTTCATGTGGCAAAGCAAGCCTTGAGAAAACATCACCATTAGTTGGCACATCATGTCTTTCATCACATTCATCGCCATCAAACATGACATATCGTGACATTCTTGGTGGGGGTAGATCATATTCATCAATATCATCATCATAGTACTCATGTCCTGTAAACCCATGATCAGCTTGATACACATCTATCTCATGATCATGATATTCAGGACTCCTGTCTCTTTTCCTAGAAACCACAAGGGAAGCTTCTTGATCACTTGAGTAACCAAACGAATCAAACTCATGCTGACGAGCTGGCCGCCTCGAAATTCCAATAGGTTCAGTTCCAGGGGAGTGGGAGTAGCGATCATCACCACCCCTTGCTGTTAGATACTTTACAGAAGCATCACCACCATAAGAATGCTGAATTAAGTGCTCTGTGTCCTGATGCATGGCTTCTTCAAAGCTACCCTTGTCTTCTTCAATCCTATGGGATAACCTCAGATTGCCGTTAATCCTTTCATCCCCGAGACCTCTCAAAGATGTTGAGCCTGATATGTGCCTTGAATTCAGTGGGACATTCCCACGTATGTTCTCTGATGCAGTATATGTATCATGTCCATCATACTCCAAGGATGCAGCTCTTGGTGTATGCCTAGAGTGTGCCTGCCTTGCAATATCCAGTAATGTTTCATCACCATGACCACTGCCATGCTCTAATGGACTTCCTGATAACCTATGAGGATGACCACTCCCATACCCCAGTGAGTCATGAGATGACCTGCCAAGGCCATCCATGTTGTATCCATTGCTTGTCTCATAGCCAGGTTCAGTGTGCATCCTGTATGGATGGTGGTCCTTGGCAAGCAAGGCTGAGGAAGAATCACCAATACCCCTTCTAGAGTAAAGCATCTCTGTTTCTCTAATCCTCCCAGCAGGCACATCATCATAAAACCTTTCTGCACCTCCACCTTTCTCAACAACCAAGTCCCTACTGCCAGAATAATGCCTCTCAGTATCTCTACTCTCAATGTATGGGGCATTCTTGTGGTACTTAAAATTGCCATCATCGTGCAGTCGCTGGGTGTTTCCAGCAACATAACCATCACTGGCCTTCATGGCAGATCCTCCTGTCAAGAATCCAGTCTCGTGCGGCACAGTGGGATACAGAGGTGGTGGAGGCGACAATCTGCGGTCTTGGAAGTACATGGCGCTAGTCCTTCCCATTTCAGTTGCACTTATTCTAAGAGTCAACCCACCGCCCCCAAGGTAGTCGTCCTTGAGAAGGCTACGGTCGTCACCAGAGCCGCCAAAATAGTCGCTTTCCTTCCTCCCGGCGCGCAGGGATGCCGGACGTCCGAGGTCGGAAGGGTGGTCAGGGAGCATGTAGGCCGGCGGGGAGTCGTGGCCGAGATCGGCAACGCGGACAGGGCGGTCGTACCTGTCGCGCTCCTCGCGGTAGGGAGCCCTTTCGTAGTCCCTGGCCCCGCGGGGCGAGCCGCGGCTATCGCCGTATTCCCTTCGCCCGCGTGGAGAGGCGTGGCGGTCGCCGCCCAGCGGGCCGAAGGCGTCTTTGTGTGGCTGATGCCCACGGCGGGGCGACGCGTCGCGGTCGCCGCCGTAGCCTGCGCGCTCGCGCCGTGGCGGGCTACGGCCGCCGCGGGGCGGGCTGCGGTCGCCGTAGCCGATGCGGCCGCCGCGGGGTGGGCTACGGCCGCCGTAGCCGATGCGGCCGCCGCGGGGCGGGCTACGGTCGCCGTAGCCGGTGCGGCCGCCGCGGGGCGGGCTACGGTCGCGGTCGTTGTCCTCGCCCCTGGGGCGGCGGTCCGGGGACGGGGTGCGGCGGGAGCGGTAGTCGGAACGCCTACCACGGTCGTCGCGGTAGGAGGCGCCGCCGTGGCGCGCGTCCCTGCGGCCGGAGCCCGCTCCACCTCCTCCTGATCGCCCTCCTTTACCTCCACTTCCCCTGCCTCCGCCTCCGCCTCCGCGTCGCATGGCGCCGGCGAGGTCGCAGCTACGGCCTGAGGGTGGGGGTCGCTACCGTGACGGTGGAACGGCGGTGGGTGAGTGGCTGTGGGATCGAGGCGGGCTTCAGATCCAAGCCTCAGAATCTCTTCCGCGTCAAGGCGAAGGCGGTTGTGGCAACAGTACCGTAGTGATGGGCGATGGGAGGCGGCGGGCGGCGGGGGAATGGAATGGGGATCGCGGTGGGTTCGGGAGCGGTTAGGGGTTGCCGTTTTATGCTGCTGATGTGGTGGTGGGCCTGCATTACTTGGTTGGGCCTGTGGAGCCCATGTCCGAAAGCAAAAGAAAGTTAATCAAAGGTCTCTAAAAAAAGTTAATCAGTTGCTAAAAAAAAGGTTCATCAATGGCAACCACAAACAAAAAAAAATTAATCGATTTTCAAAAAAAAAGTTAATCAAAGGAAAGGAAAGGCCAAAGAAGAAAAAAAATGAAAAAGATATGAAGTTTTTTTTTTTTTGACAACGACTCTAATTTATATTAAAACATAAGCACAGTATAGGGAATTGGGAAGACAGCTCCCATGAAGTACATGTGTAGCTGCATAGCTACGATTATAGAGCCAATGCAGTGACTCAAACTAAGCTGCTCAAGAGCAAGGATACAAAAGGATCTAGAAAACCGTCGTCTACGATTCTGGAGAAAGGAGATGTCGTCGTTGGGGGCGCCCGGCCTCAGCCGAGAGGTGGCCACAACAACAACGTCTAAGATTCTCATCTTCGCACTCCATGACTGTCTAATTTGCCCATGTCTTCAAGGATTTAGAATCTTGAGCCGTAGATGTTGGTTAAGCGTATCCGGACTCTAAGATATAGGCCCCGTTCGCGCCACTTCTTTTTTCATCCAGAACAGTATTTTCCTCTCACAGATTTCTCCAGATTCATTCAAATTCATTCAGATTCACTACAAATTCTTCCCAGCGAACAGGCCGTAAGCTCTACTTCTACCATCGTTAAATCTGAGGATCTTCGACGAGAATCGAAGGTCAACCCGAACGATGATTGAAGCTTTGTCCCTACCGTGTATTCTTTCTTCAGAATACTAGAGCTTCGAAGAGTAATTAAATGTACCCTTTGTTGGCTAACCATGAGTAGTGCCATGCCATGTATGGCCATATCCAGACTGCAGCTTGTACACGTACACCAAAGGATGTACTCTCTGTCCCATCACGTGGCAGCGCACCGTCCATCCTGCTGCAACGAAGTCCTGCGTGCCCAACAACGTCGAACATACAGGGCCCACAGCACGTTGCCTCTCTGCGCCCGCCGCAAGAATTGGACTGGATTTTGCACCGTCAGTCTTGGGGTCGCTCCTCCACGGACTCGAAAGAGACTGCTCCGGCGAGCTCGAACAAGCTCCGTCGGCAGTGGAGGAGTAGCTTGGCAAGAACTCTGCGGTCTGGCAGTTGCTGTCGCAGGCTAGCGGAAGCTGTGGTGTAGCGTCGCGCAAGGCAACAAAGGCGTCGCTGCTGCGCACCGCAGCACGCACGACGCGCTCCTCCTCCGCTCGTCGGCCACCGAGCAAACCAGCTCCGCACAGCGTGCGAGCGCCGGTTCCCGGATGGACGGAGGAAGCTTACCGATGTAGGTGACCTTCGCGCCACTGTTGTTGACGATGTTGCTGACCGTGCTTGCGCCTTGGCTCGAGTAGGATGCGAGCAGCACCATGCTGTCCGCAGCGCTATGGAGCAGGCAAAGTAGAAGCAGGGTAGGAGAAGAGGGCTTTATTGAAATACTCACCGCATCGAATCGGAGGAAGCTCGCATCGGCCATCATGGCCGCGAGAAGCCCGCCCACCACCAGGCCGATGAAGGTGAGGAGGACTGAGGCCCTCAAAACACACATCCGGGTCACTTATTCTACTAGAAAAACTCTACTGGGAGAGAGGGAGGGGAAGGGAGAAGGAGACCGGCCCACCTACCCTCGTCGCCGGCGAGCTCGCCGGAGAAGGAGAGCAGGGGGCCGGCGGCTGGGCGCCACAGGGGCTCTCTCGCTCACAGGGAGACTCTCACGACTCTAAAGGAGAGTGAGTTGATACGTGATAGGGCGATAGTTTTGGATATGCTTTGCCTTTTGCCGGTAGTTATTGGATATACTTTACCTTGCATACAATGGTAGTGAAAGGAATATACAGTATGCAAGGTGCACTCTTTTCTTACACCTTCGATGCTTAGTTTCTTTTGAGCCTTTCTATAGTAAATTGTAGAAATTGTCACGAAGTTAACGCGCGACTTTGTGAAAAATTTCAGAAATTCAATCAGGAATCTTACTTGTAACCAAAATTTCGGAGGAAATACATATTGGATATAGTTCACCGTATCTTTTACCGATTATACAACGTAGGACGTATTTCGGTTTATCACTACGGTACACTTTTCATTTATATCTTTTTATTATATATGATGATTAGATTATTAAAATATGCCAAAGGAATGAATCCATTTTGAATAACTTGTCTTTGTAACCGTCTCGGTTCATTCGTCTCCCAGTGCTTTGGATTTTCCTCTTTCCATCATTAGAGTATCATTTCTCACACAAATCTCAAACAACTAAAAAGAATAAAATGCAGATACTTTTTTGTGCAACATTTCAACGTGGGTACCATCGTTCCCGTGCGATTTTTTTTCCACCTCGACGCTCTGCCCGTCCGTGCAAAAGGAAACTCGCCCCCACCGGCGCCTCCCCCTTTAACCCTCCCCGCCTCCGTTACCGTCTCCCCCTTTCCCACCTCCCCCACTCGCTGTGCTCATCCATCCATTGCGACGAGCCCCCACCCGCCGATTCGACTACGTTTGATTTTTTTTTCTTCATTTGATTTGATTGCAGCGCACCGCAGCAGGAGGAAGAGAGGGAGGGAGGGATCCTTGGGCCGTCGTTCGGCTGGATGGTGGAGGCGGTTCGTCGATTTGAGAGCTGCGGGTTTCTTGGACCTGCGTAGGTACGTGCTCCTCTCTCGGCCGGACCGGATCTCTGGTCCTACGGATTCCTGCTTCTCAGATTTGGGTCCTGGATGGGGGGTATTGATCCGGTTTTCCGCGTGATTTGATTTCAAAGGTAAAAACACCACCCCCATTTCCTCTCGGCCGGCGGATGGATGCGAGGGAGGTGTGAAGCCTGGTCTCAGATTTGTATGGAGCTTATGTTGGTTCTGACGTTCTTAACTGTCTGAACGACTGCTTATGAGTTCAGTTCAGCTTTGTGACAACACAATTTTTCTGTCTGCATCGTGGACTGAAAAAACTTCAGATATCTATATTTCCATTGCTAATTCTGACCAACCATCGACTAAACTGAATACTTGACATAAACAATTACTTGATATAGTGAAAGGCTACCTGCGTGTGTTGATTTTTTCAGGGAAGCATTCTTTGACTACGCCAAGCATTGCAAGATTTTACTGGATACATTGTACCGGTTGCTATCAGAGGCTCTTGGCCTAAACCCGAGCTATCTGATTGATATTGAGTGCAACCGAAGTCAGATGATACTGTTTCACTACTACCCTCCATGCCTGGAGCCTGAGGTCGCCATCGGAACAACCCAGCATTCCGACACTGGCTTCCTCACCGTCCTTCTCCAGGATGAGATCGGCGGCCTGCGGGTCCTCCAAGATGACCAGTGGATCGATGTCCCACCAACGCCTGGAGCGTTCATAGTGAACATTGGCGATCTCATGCAGGTTCATAGATTCTGATCGACTGTAAAATTTAACAACAGGAGACCTAGCTAAATCGTTGTTTTCAGAATTGATATATATTTTGTTGCTTACACGTGTATCTGCAGATGATGTCGAATGACAAGTTCAGATGCGCCGAGCACAGAGTGGTGGCAAAGAAGGCTGGACCGAGGGTCTCCATCGCATGCTTCACCAGCCATTCAGATTCCACAAGGATGTATGGGCCCTATCAAGGAGCTGTTGTATGATGAGTGCCTACCGTTGTACAGGGAAACACTTGCCAAAGATTACATTGCGCACTACTACTCCGTCGGGCTAGGTCGCAAAAAGGCTATTTACGATTTCCGGCTATAGTGGTTCTGCAACAAATTGCGAGTTCTGCTTCTCTGAAGTCTGAACTATATGTCTCCTGTGTTACAATATATGAATTATGAAGGCATTGAGGATCATCCTATATGCCCATACGCTATATTACGAATAAAGGAAATGGAGCAATAACAATACTGAGGTATTCCTTCATCCAGTAATCAAAATAATCACACACGTATTTGACCAGAGAAAAAAAAAGACAAATTTTACAAAATTTTGATCAATAATTACTCAAATTATATGCACGTTCAGAGCATAAAACTTGCATAATGGATTTGTGTCCAAGTGCCCCTAAGATGATATTAATTTTTTAATTACTTATTATATATTATAGGAGAATTTAAGGGTCAAAAATTTACTTTGTATGATTTTTTTTCTGGTCCAATACTCTCTTTATTTTTGGGAGGAAAACAAAAAGGTACCTATCTTTACCACTTTGAATAAAAGATCAAATGATTGTGAGCTTCTTCTTACCCTGTTGTGTCTGACATGAAACCTTCAGCTCAATGCTCTTGCAGTAGCTCAATCATGTAGGGGGGATGGTAATATATTCTTTTGTGGTTGTTATTGCACCATATGTAGGAGCGCGCCGTGCGGAGGCGGTGGAGGAGGAAGCACCGACGATTTGGACAGCATAGCGGCGACGGAAGGGGAGCAGCAGGCGGACGAGGAGCAAGCCGCCAGGAGGACGACAGCCGCCGCCGCCATGGATACTTTTTGGTGTAACATTCCAACGTGGTCCATCGTCCTGCCTCCTCGTGCGATTTTTTCCACCTCGACGCTCTACCCGCCCGTGCAAAAGGAAACTCGCGGCCTCCACGCTCTGCCTTCCCGTGCGAAAAGGATTGGCTTCACCCCGCTCGCCCTGTCACCCTCCGGCAATCCCGCGCGCACCTCCTTTGCAAACCCTGCGAACCCTGTCTGCCCCCTCCACGCAAAGGAAGTCAAAGCCAGCACGATCATTGCGCAATCTTCGCGTCCCAGGATTGCCTAAAATCGTGCTGCCGCTTCCCCATTCCTTACTAGAGCCATGGTGTTTGCGTCCTCCGCTGTCGTCCACCCGGCCATCGTTGCATGCCCATGCAAAAACCAGAAACTTGGGCGTCTTGGGCTCCCAACGGTGGTCAGGGTCGAGGTCGTTTGGGTGCGTGCGGCGCGGCGGGCGTGGGTGTGACGACGAGAATGGCTTGTGGTTGTGGCGCGTGGATGCGGCGCTGATGTCTCAGAGGCAGACGTTTGGGCGGCGGCGGCGCTTAGGGTAGAGCGGTGCGGGCAGCTGCGCTTCCCTGGTGGCGGCAGCACTCCCTCGGCGGTGGCCACCGACGGTCACACCTTCAATTACCTCCTGGAAGATGAATTCAGTGAGTTCTCTTGCCTTCCTGCCGTCCACCTCTATCAAGTTATGTGCTTTTAGCATTTCATCAGTAATTTTTCTCAGTCTTAGATGTATTTTCTAAATTGGGTGTATTGTCAAACCGTGGGAAAATTGGATGACAATTGAAGTTTTGGCGTTGTTGGATGGAGAACCAAATGAAAGAAGGATTAGGACAATCTAGGATTATGTCGTCCAGTGCGCATACCAAAAGGTAACACACTCAACATCCTCCTCTTTTTTTATAGAATGGAAACACTCATACGACTGAACTCAAGGCGTTGAATAACAGAACACAACAGTGTAGGAGTGACTGAAAAAAAAACGAAATGGTCTTTGTGATTGAGGGAAATGACAGCAGCAATCCCCTGTATGGCCAAATTCAGAAACTCCACATGATGATAACCCATTGATTAGAAGAAGAGATATCTTTTCTATTACGATTAGTATATTGGCACGCTTGTGCATCACTGTATCTTGATCTGCATGGTCATGTAGACAATGCATATGTGCCGGGCCGACATGGCACGGGCCAAAGGCAATGCTGGCTCCAAGAAAGAGATTTCAGTTCCCAGGGACGCCAGTGGCAATGTCATCTCTGCTCAACAATGTACTTGAACATCTTGTTAGATTTTTCAATACCATTATCTAAGCTTATGCCACTTAAACTAATATCCTGTTCTAGAGCGATGTAACAATTTCACATTTTATTTGGTTTAGTCTGCATTTTTTTCCTTGATGATAATCCTGAAGGTATTGAGGCACGTAATGAGGTTAGCACACCCTATTCACTATTATGCATTTATTACTAAGAATTTCAAAATTATGTTCCTACCATTCATAATAGGTGTCATCATAGACCATCTTCTGACTGATTGTATACCTGTAATTACTAATAAATGTACCTACAAATGACTGATGTGTGCTGCAGGCGAGAGTAATAGTGACCTAGATCCATGAACCATTACATGTAGCACGTGTGTTTGTGGTAATATATACAACAATTGATTATAGGACACAATCCATGAACCAGGTTATGCATATCATTCATCTTGAGTTGTCATATAGTGAATTGGACTGCATGCATCTGATTTCCCATCATCGCTGCCTCCTCCGATGCTTAGGAACTCAGATGCAAATAAGTATTTTATATTTATTATGTACTGCAAAAAAATGGATTTGATAAGATAGAATAGAAGTCATGCGTTGGTCCTGAATTGGCATGAAGCTCATATGGGTGTGGTCTGATGGTCTTTGTGTCAGCTGGTCTAATAATAGGGATGCCTAATAAATCTGCCTGCAGGTAGGAAGTAACCAAACTATCATCGGTTAAGAAGAAAGACAAGCCCGGCAATGTAATATCACACAAGAAGTCAAAAACACATATCCCAGCAATCGCCTCAACTTAATTTTATTGGATTTTTTCTG